ATTAGCAAATAATGATAATTTTGCCTTCTCCTTTCTAATATATTAATTTATGTAAATTAGTTTTGCATAATTGAATATTCTTATTGTTTCTAATAGTTTTTCAGTTAATTCCCTTTGGGTTTCCAGGTAAACAATAGCATCATTAGCAAATAATGATAATTTTGCCTTCTCCTTTCTAATATTTTACATTTTATTTCTTTCTCTTGTCCAATTGCATTGGCTAATAAATCTAGAACAGTGTTAAATAAATGTGACAATGGGCATTTTGAGCCACTTCTAGTGTTGCACCATTAGGCACAGTAAAATTACAAAAGTGAGACACGCTCACTTAGCCAGTTTAGTATATAACCTAGAGGCTTTTTCTTTTAACACTTGGCACATAGCTGACATTCAATAAATGTGGACTTTCAGTTAATGTTATGCTAATACTTACATACACACAGATATTTTAGTACAGGATCATGCTAAATAGAAGTAAAAAACATTAATAAACATTTACTGAGCATCTTTTGTGTGCAGGGCACTGGTCTAAACACTCGCATTAACATCTCTTTCCCATTTAGACACTAGCTGGATTGATTTTGACAACATACAATGATGGAAAGAGTACTGCAGTGGGAGTGTGAAGACTCAGGTTCTAATCCTGTCTCTGTCACTGATTTGATGACCTTGGGAGGTTCTTTACCAGCAGCTTCCACTTACCCAGGAGAGAGAATTTGGATGAAGAGGAGGCAGTCTCAGAATTCAGTTGGGGAAAGACCTGGGTCACCTCTGGCCCTCTCTTCCCCCATACTAACAGGGTTTATAGCTGATACCCAGGAGATGGAGCAGAGAGAAAGGTGGTGGAACTAAGGCTTCTTTGAGAGAATGGGTGTGGGAACGCTACCAGAAATAAAAAACAAAACAAAATAAAGCAGGATCCTTGTCATCCACTGCACTTCCCCTGTGAAACACGTCAGCTTCACTTATGCTCTTACGATGGGAATGTAGATTCCGGGCAGTCGAGCACCATTTCACTAATCTCAAATCCTCACACGCGCCCCAAGAAGTTCCATCGGCTTCCAAACACTGCTGGTGGTAACTAAACTTTTATTCTCCCCCTCTAGGTCCTGGACCGGTCACCCAGAACGCAGATGTGGTACGTAAGCAGACGACCCGACGTTAGGACCTAGGCCTCCTTACTCTCTTTGGGGTACATTTGAGGGTTAGAGGCCACCCCCGACACCTTCCGGAGAGCGACGTCACTGGAGCAGGGGGCAACCCAAAGGTCAAAAAGGTCGGATAGTTCTCCTCGCGGAGCCGCACCCCCTCGGAGGAGACCTGGGCCTGTTCGGGGGCGGGGAGGAGGCTGGACCCCAGGCTGTTGAGTGGCCGCCCGTCCAGCCAATGGGCACGTCGCACCGCCGCGCGGAGTCCCGCCCCTCCGGGTGCACTGTACTCACTTTTCCCACTTCGGCGTTGCCCATGGAGATGACTTTGATGCGCAGGGACTTGCTAGGCTCCTTCCGCTTCGGCATGTTGGCCTCCATTGCCCTCGCTCTCTCGGGGCCACCCGCCTCGCTCTCTCCTTGTGCGCCGCTGGCCCGTCCCTCAGGCCTCCTCGTCCAATGGCGGAACCGCTGCTCTCGTCACTACCTCGGCTCCGTGGTTCGCCATCCCAGCCGCTGCCCCGCAGCAGGCGCAGGCGGTTGGGAGCGCAGGGAACCGGGGGAGGGAGCCGGCAGTCTCGCGATGCTGGCGCGGGGCTGCTGACGTCATCGCTCGTCCTCGGAGTTGAGGTTCGGGTTACCTGTTTTCCGGGGTCGCACGACGATCGTGGAACGTGTACCTTGACAAGAAGGCGGTGTTGGACTGTGGCGGGGTTTACGCTTTGTGGAAAGCGCGGCCTTGTTTTCAGGGGCGCAAGGACAGGGCATTTGTTGCATTGGCAGCCGAGTGGTAGATACTTGTTGGCAGTTCGCGGCAGGTCTGGTAGCATCTGGATTATGGGTTAGTTCAAGGCCCAGCCACACCACAGTCCGCTCTGGGTCCCCGTCTGCTGCCGCTCTCCCCCTCCAATATTGTGTTCCCCTTGCTCGAGCTCCATAAGAGGCAGAGTCAAGAGCCAGGGAAGTGGGAAGTTGGAACCCTGGTTCTGGAAGAAGGCCTTCGACAAGACAGGAAACGACTATCTTCTATAGGTTCTAAAACATGGAGTCAAGGCAAGGGTTTTAGTTTAGACTTGCTACTTTATTACAGAGCTCTGACGGACTTGGGATTAGATGACTCATCTGTAGGAGGAAGGCCCAGGCTACTGTAGATGCTTCTTAACATTCTTGTCCAGCTCTGTCAAGGCATATGATTGTAGCTGTAAGCGCCTTCATTTTCCTCCTCTGCCTGCTGCTCACATACAAACTTAACCCTGTGTTCTGATCTCGCCTTCCCTTTAGCTAACAGCCTAACAGTAGAAGAATAATGAATACTAAGATACCCACTTTTCTTATTCCAGAGGATGAGAAAAACAGCTGTTTGAATAAAAGCCAGTCTGACAGGACAGAATTTTTTCAAGCCAATATCTTCAGTTACAAAAGATAAATAGAACTTGACAATGATTATTTAGTGCCCTGAAAAAGAATTGCTGCCGATTTCCCAGTAAATTACAAAGGCAAAGGTAGCACTGCTTCTTTTCTCACGTAGCTTTAAACATTTTAAAAGAAATACATTACAGGAAGACAATGAAATAAAGGCTCAAAATTTCATAGTAGTTAAGTCTGATTTTTGAACATT